AGTAGGTATTTGTGGGTCAGGGCCGTGTGTCCGATCTTCTTCTTTAAGAGTAAGGATTTTTTAAGTTGAAAAAAATATATTATTCCCCCATTCAATTATTAAACTTTAATGGTGACAGAACTTTCTATGCTTCTTTTCCTCAGTCCCATGTTTGCAGTCAAAAGATGTAGAGCGAAGCTTGTATTTCATTAAGGCAGAAATTTTATACAGCCTGGGGCAAATTTGCGGTTTTTTAGATAACAAATTTGTGACATCGACATCTGTATATTTCTTTTTTAAAAATACATCCAAAATAACCATCCAAAATCAGGATGGACGTTCATTTTTTACGGTAAGTTAGGGGGAGGGGGGGGGTTGTAGTAATAACAGTTTCGTTTAGTTTTAGTAAGAGTTTTACGGCACTTGCAGCACAATTAGGTCATATAAGTGCCGAAGATTAGATGTGTTACAAAGGCGTAACAAATACAAAAAGGAGATATTAGACCACAGATGATAGGAAAGAAGGAGCAAACCACACCAGAGCACCTGCCAACCACTCACTCACACAGTAATTTTGAGCAAAGATTCTCAGACCAAGGAAAACACAAACACAACACATTTTGTGAGTCAATGGATAGGGAAGTGCATTGGTTTGCGAGTATTCAAAGGAGATGGTATTCCATGCTTTGAAAATCATTTCATGCACTTTTATAACAGTAGGATATTACATCCTGTCAGTGCACACATTTCCTTTATCATTGGGATAACTATCTGTTCCATCACAAAGACTTTAGAGAGGAAGAAGGGATGTTGATGCAGTGATATATATATACAACACCCCCCCCCCCTTTTTCCCCCATCCCAACCTACTCTGGACAACCATCTCCACTCCCCTGCTCTTGGTCTATAGTTAGACGACCATGGCTTCTTTTGTTGTAGTATAGAGTTTTACGGCATTTGCAACACAATTGAGTCATATAAGTGCTGAAGATTTGAGATTTTAGAAGAGTAAAAACACAAAAATGGAGGCGAGATCAGGATTGTGGATGTTTGATAATAAAGGATAAGAAAACCCCACCAGAGCTCCCGTTATCCACCAACAAAGCAGCAGCATCCCGTTTTCAGTCTGTTGCCTGTGGTTTAACACATTCGCAATTCAGTTTCCTTTATTTTTGGAACGACAGTCTTCTCATCTCATTCATAACGTTTGAGGGGGGTTGGAAGTTTTAGTAGGAGTTTTGGCGCGTTCGCAACTGTATAAGGTCATATGAGTGCCAGGGGGGTGAAGCGCATAACCCTTACACCATAAACGCCTTTGTAACGCTCATTTATTAGCTTTGCGAAAAAAAAGTAAAACAGAAGTAACAGAGGGAAAGACAGAAGCTACAGGACGTACATAATATTATTATGGCACCCTCAAATCTACAGAAATGTTTTGGTTTAATGCGAGTTTTACGGCATTTGCAACACAATAAGGTCACATAAGTGCCGACGATTAGAGGTATTACAAGAGTAACTAACGTAAAATCAGAGAGATCAGGACAATAGGTGCTTCACATCAGAGCACCTGAAAAGTGAAAAACAGCCGCTTACATTCATTTAGCGCTGCCAAAAAGAAAGGTAAAAGGGAGACAACAGCTGCAAGACGTAGATATTATGAAACCTCAGTGTCAACATAAATTTGGGGCTTTGAGTATCTTGAAAAAGCTGGGTATGTGTGGTTTTAGGACACTTTTGTCTGAAGTTTGTTTGTTTGATTGGTATGTGCTTTTTGTGTATTTTGATGGATCCATTATCATATTCGCCCAATTTCTGTGAGCAAGTATACACAAAAGCAGATACGATCCTAATAACTTTATTTACCTAGTAGACGTGAGAAGAAAGTTATTTGTGAGGCAGCGTGGTGGAATCAGGCTCTTGTCAAAATAATCAAAGATGAGAAACTTGCATTTTTCAGCAGGTTTGTGTATTTTTATAACATTTTTGTTTTTTGACTCAACACCTTTCATGCCCATTAAAAAAACTAATTTCTGTGTGGATTTTTATGAAAAACGTTGATTAAAGGCACAAAAACTGAAAATTTTCAGTTACCCTGGACTCTTAAGCTAAGGAAATAATAAATCTTTGGCGACCATTTTCTAATTAATTTTACCTCTGAAAACAGGTGACCCCACCTCCTTCATTCGCAAATATCTCGACTTGTATTCAAGATAAATGGATATTTTTTTCATCCAAATAAAGACGAGTGAACACGCTTTAAGATGATACCAACAACTCTACATGCCCAAAAATTGTCGAGAGCCTGATTCCACCACGCTGCCTCACATTTATCTTTGCTAGCGCGAGCACAAAGAGCAGGACTTGACTCTAAATGAAAAGGGATCTTTCCAAGGGCCACAGCTGTTACTCAAATAATTAGACAAGAATGATGTAATAGTTACAAAACTGCAAACTTGAGTCACGGTGCTTCTATGCTTAATGATCCTTTTTAAACAAGCGTGGAAAGCACAAAAATTATGTGTTACGGCGCAGTGAAATCAGGTGTTCCTCAGTTTTTGGGCAAGAGGAGGTAATGGTTAATATTCTTCTTTTTTTTTCTCGTGTCCTGATTTTGGTGCCGAAATTTGTAGGAAAAAAATGTGTAGACATTGTACAAATTGTCAAGACAAACAAAAGAAAAAGGAAGGGGAACTGTTTTGTCGGTTATGATGATGATGATGATGATGATGATGATGATGATGATGATGATGATGATGATGATGATGATGACGATGACGATGACGATGACGATGACGATGGTGGTGGTGGTGGTGGTGGTGGTGGTGGTCAAGAGTCTTGCTTTCGATTTCTTTTTAAAATACCTATCTTTTTTTAACAGAAGTCAAGATTTGCACTATTGAACGAGGTGGGGATCGCCTGGTTTCAGAGGTAAAATGGGCTAGTAAATTGCTGTCAAAATTTGGTAACCTCCATAGCATGAGTCCTTGTAAACTGAAAATTTACATTGTTTTTGTGTGTGTGTCTCAAATCAACTCTTGTGAGTAATATCACAGAAATGTGTTGTTTTAATTGGACATAAAAGGGTGTTGAACCAAAATATAATTCGAAAAACAATTGCTCGATAGCTAGAATAAATGTCGGTTTCTTTGACTTCATTATTTTGACGAGTGCCTGAGTTCACCACAACGCCCAGCATTTATACTATTGAAAACGATATCATCAAAACAAAGAGCTTACGGTTGACTGGTGTTAAACAGGAGTACTGACATGACCCAGTTTTTTTTATTGTTTTTTTTTTCATTTTCTTTTCCTTTGTTTTTTGGGGAACAATTTTTCATCCGATATCTAGTCCAATAGAACAAAAATAATACTTAATGATACTATGATATCTGTAGTTAAATGAGGTGTGGGTAATCCGTTGGCAGCTGCCTCCAATAATAATATGTGGTGCTCCCCGCTCGGTTTTTGGTAAAGGTTTGAACGTTTTTGAACAGCAAAATGAAGGATCACGTTATGTTCTGTCTGTCTGTCTGTCTGTCTGTCTGTCTGTCTGTCTGTCTGTCTGTCTGTCTGTGTTTGATCGATATTTGGTTGGTTTTGTTTGGGTTTTTAGTTGTTTTGGGGCGAGTGTTTCAAAAAGGTGTTTTACGACGCCCCCATCGACACAATTTCAATAATTATTCAGAAACCATGCGTCCGCCATGCCTGTCAGGCCGTCGCAGAAAGAGAGGTATACAACGTTCCAGCACAAAGGCGGAGATACACCACAACAATCATCCCAACACGAGATCATGTTTTGTTTTTGTTGTTTTTTGCGAAGTGTTTGCAGCGCTCGCAACTGTACACTGCCATATGACCGCGCGGGATATATTAATTATTAAACATTTTCAGTTGGTATGAAATGTTGAATTCTGCACGGGTGGGGGCCAAAGCCTATTTTTATCGATTTTAGACCACCAAGAGATTTTTAACGTGCGCAACTTGCACACGAGACCTCCGAGATTTTTCGCCCTTATCCGAGAAGACTAGGTGTAGATCTTTC